CCCTGGGTTGAGATATGCTGAACTCTGTAAATACTATCTGAATACTGGAGCACTTGATGATATCCAGTACTTGATTTGTACCCAGTATTGACTGTAGTGCATCAGTTAAACAATGTATGTAATGTAACTAACCTGAGCTTAAATGCATCTTAATCACCTTCAGTGGTTAAGAGCTTAATAACACTAGTTTCTATAGAAGCTATCTTACCCTGTCAAGTAAAAAAAAAAGTGACATGTGTACAGTACTCACCTAGTACTTGCTTTTGGGGGTTGAGCTTTAGCTCCTTGGTCCCACCATTCAACCATTCCATCTGTTAACTACTCTGACACTGAAAAAGTTCTTTCTAATGTCCCTGTGGCTCATTTAGTTACTCAGTTTCCACCTATGTCCCGTTGTTCACGTACCCTGTGTTAAACAATTTATCTTTATCTACCCTGACAATTCCTCTTAGAATTTTGTAGGTAGTGATCAGGTCTCCCCTTATGTTATCATGTCTGTGTGTCTAATTACCTAAGTGTAGTCACAGGATTAGAGCTACGCTCGTGGTGTCCTGTCTTTCCAGCACTCTGTCATATAACGCTTTGAAATTACTGACGGTTTTGGCCTCCCACTTTCTCACTGAACTTGTTCCAACCGTCTACCACTCTGTTTACGAAAGTGAATTTCATACATTTCTTTGGCAGCTTTGTTTAGTTAGTTTAATTAAATCTATGACCTCTTGTTCTTGAAGTTCTGGGTCTCTGGAATTCTTTCCTATCACTTTTATTGATTCCTTTTACTATTTTGTACGTAGTGATCATATTGCCTCTCTTTCTTCGATCGTCTAGTTTTGGCATATTTAACCGCTGCACTGCGCACCTGTTTTTGGCAAAAATGTCATAGTGCAATTATTAAGGACATATTTTTGTTGTTTTTATAAATGGTTAGGTAAAGTTAATGTCAAAATGTTTCTAAACTCAATTCTTTTCATTTCAAAACAAAGAGTGATGGAAACATTAAAAAACATTAAAATAGAGCCTAAATAAAAAAAAAAAACGTACAACTCATGACATTTGTTGTTTGGCGTAGTGCAGTGGTTAATGCCTCTAACCTCTCCTCGTAACTCTTGTCCTTCAGTTCTGGGAGCCACTTAGTAGCATGTCTTTGAACCTTTTCCAGTTTGTTCATGTGCTAATTAAGATATGGGCACCATACAACCGCCGCATATTCCAGCTTTGTTCTAACAAAAGTCGTGAACAATTTATTTCGCCTTCCATGTATTTAAAAGCAGTTCTGAAGTTAGAAAGTGTAGCATAAGCTCCTTGCACACTGTTCTTTATGTGGTCCTCGGGTGATAATTTTCTTTCGAGAACCACCCCTAGCTCTCTTTCTTTATCAGAATTCTTTAAAGATGTCTCACATAATTTACAGGTTGTGTGGGGTCTTATGTTCTCCTATTCCACATTCCATAACATGGCAGTTATTCACATTAAATTCCATTTGCCGAGTGGTGCTCCATGTACAGTACTTATTTTGTCCAGGTTTTCTTGAAGGGCATGGCAATCATCTAAGTTTCTTATATTCCCTATTATCTTATCATCAGCAAACATGTTCATATAATTCTGTATTCCACTTGGTAGATCGTTTATGTAGACAATGAACATTACCGGAGCAAAAACTGAACCCTTTGGTACTCCGCTTGTGACATTTCTCCAGTCCAATACATTGCCTCTGATTTACTGCCCTCATTTTTCTATCAGAATTTTTTTTTATCCTTGTTAGAAGCTTACCTGTCACCCCTCCAATATGTTCCAGTTTCTAGAACAACCTCTTATGTGGAACTCTGTCAAAAGCCTTTTTTAGGTCCAGATAGATGCAGTCAACCCAACTACTGTATGTCTTTCCTGTAAAATCTCTCTAGCTTTATCATAGGAACTGAGTAAATTCGTTACACAGAATCTTCCAGATCAAAAACCATACTGTCTAATATTACATACAGTATATCGTTTGTCTCCAGGTGTTCTACCCATCTAATGTGATAAGAGGAATTGGATTTTGTCTAACTATATGTTAATTAAAGGCAAACTATTTTTGTTTAATTTGCAAGAAAAATTATATTTTAACTTTACAATTAACTTGTTATTTATTAATATGTTCTTTTAATGTGTCTGAAAAAGGGGGGGGGTACATTTACTAAAAACAGAAATAAAAATAATCTGCCTAGACTAAGCTACAGAGTGCTTGTGTTTTTGTAGAGGCATATTGAACACTCATAGTTTGATGTAGGCCAGGCACTACACCCAAGGTGGCCACTGGGGTTACTTGTATAATCATCTCAAAGTTACCTCTCAAGGACAGTTAGGTACTTTCATTAAAGCAGTTCTGTCCATTCTACTGTGCCTTGATGTATCTATAATTTCTTTGGTATTTCTGGTATACATGCTGTACTCTATTTTCTTATCTAAGAAGATCAAAGTGTGTGTGTAGCTTTTAATTAAGTTTGAGTATGTTGTAATTTCATGTACAGTAGCTATGGCTTAAAGTATGGACTGTATTTTGGGAGTCGTCAATTACATTTATGGCTTCTCTTTCTGGATATTTTTTGTGTATTATACTGTCATATTCAGTACTGTTCCATACTTTATATACCTCTCATCAATCTAGGCATATTTTCTAGCTAGTGTGTGTGTGTGTGTGGGGGGGGGGGGCATTTTAAAGTTTAAGGCATTTCCACACTTCTTTTGACCGTAATGGGCTCTTATTTTTCTTTTTACTTCATACCTTTTGGGTTTTCAGTTCACACAGTGTATGTATGTGATGGATAGTTTTACATTTATCGATAAATGTCTTTGCAAGTCTGGGATGGTTTTTATTGGTACTGTGTAATGTCAGTAATGTCAATAGATATACTAATTGTTATAATATTCAAACTCCAGTGAATTTAGGTTGACCCCTTAATAAATGGGTTTAGGGATGGAGCCCTATGTGGAACTCATTTGTAAAATCATCCTTTAGCATGTTATTAAGTACAGCAATCCCAGTAGGGATACTGTGAGGGTTTAACTGGTTTACCATACAGTATTTTTGTTTTTTTAATTTTGCTATAATTTGCAATGTCTGTTGAATGAATTCTCATATTGTGTTGTAGGTAAAATGTGGTGCAAGGAAGGTCCTTTCTTTATTGGACCTTGCTGTCTCCTTTAGCCAGATATGAGAAGTTAATCAAGAATGGAGGAAGCTGCTTAGCTAACTTGTGGTGGTTTTGGAGATCAATGTTAGGGGTATAGTTATCTCCCCTAACCCTTGGCCCATGATCTGACTGTGCTTTCTGGTTAATTGTGTGCTTAGTTATGCAGCTGGTAATCCTTGTTCCCAGTTTGTACCTGGATGGGGTTCTGGGAGTAGTTCTACTCTGTAGCTGCACCAAAATGTTTACATGTTCAAATTCAAATTACAAAATTGTTCGACTTTCGTTAGCCCAAAGCTAGAATATGCAGCGGTTGTATGGTGCCCATATCTTAAATTAATAATAATTAAGAAGCACATAAACAAACTGGAACAGGTGCAAAGACATGCAACTAAATGGCTTCCAGAACTGAGGGACAAGAGGTACGTGAGAAAGTTAGAGGCATTAAATATACCAAAACTAGAAGATAATTTAAAGAACAAAAGGCGATATGATTACTGTACTACGTACAAAATAGTAATGGAAAGCGATAAAATTGATAGGGAAGAATTCCTGAGACCAGGAACTTAAAGAACAAGAGGTCATAGATTTAAAGTAACTAAGCAAAGCTACCAAAGATATATTGGTACAGTATAAGAAAATTCACTTTCGTAAACAATGGTAGACAGTTGGAACAAGTTAGGTGAGAAGGTGGTAGAGGCCAAAACTGTCAGTAGTCTCAAAGCATTATATGACAAGAGTGCTGGGAAGAGGGCATATCACGAACGTAGCTCTCATCCTGTAACTGCACTTACGTAATTACGTGTGCCTTGATTCCAGGAGATCTTCCCAGTAGTCTCAATTGCTAATGATACTCTAGGAAGTTTTGAAGTTTAGTAGTAAGAGCTTGTTACATATTTGTTGATATGTATATCTCAAGAACAGTTAGCCTGTGGATTACTTACGTATCTTAAAAACCATATCATCACCATTGTAACAGATGCAATAGCAATAAAGTTGCTAATTCTTCATGCTGTAATTTCAGTGGATGCAAAGGATGTGAACCTCTTATCAGTACATGTCCCTCAGAAACTGACTTAAAAAATTGCTTCAAATTTGTTATGAGGTTAATTTTAGTGTTTTATGCTTTATGCTTGCTTATCAAGCAGGTAAATGATTACAACTACCACAAACACCTCTACAACATGTCTACTACCAAACACCATTGTGAATCAGCACTACAGCCACACTTACCCACTACCACAACACTTCCATTACCATAGTGCAACCACTAAAACCTATGCTCTCCTATCTAAATACAACCATTATCACAATACTGTACTAGAGTTACTACCACCCCCATTAGAACCACTTCAACCATTGCTGCAAATGACAAATCTACCACAATCATCAACCACTCGCCAATTAATGCAACTATGTAATGCATCCACAACTATGACTCCTCACTAATAAAATCAACAATATCTTAACTAAAACTACCACTTCATATTTCAGTCACCACTACTGCAGATGTCAGTTATATTTTAAGAAAAAGTTGCTGGTCTCCAAGCAGTTGCCATCTTTATTTATCAGTTGTTTACAGAAAACTATCATTTCCTATTTTGTTTGGTAAAATCAACACCAAAAGATCACCATAGTTGTTCAGAACACAAATACATAAATTAATATAATAGATATCCACAAATAAAAAAATTTGCAAAAATCTTATTTTACCAATATTTTTTCAGCATAAATATGCATGTGTGTTGTGAGATTCATAGGAAAGATAATACTGTATTTTGATATTAAAATATAGATGTTTAAAGTGAATAATTTTGTTTTTTTTCCTTTCAGGCAGATGTAGGTTCCCTCAAGTTTAGGCTGACTGACCAGTAGTCACCTAAGAAGGATAATACAGTACTAGGTGTAAAATGTTGTCTTCGGAGATCAATATGGGACATGGTATATCGTCGGTCTCCAGATGGGGAAAAAATACCATGATTTGTTACATGTAAAGATCACATCTTAACCCCTCACTGGTTTTTAAGATATGACACTGAACATGGGGCTATTGGATGCTGGTTTGTGTGTTGTCGGAACTCTGTTCCCAACTTGGTCAAAAGCTGGTCTGTGGACATGTCTGAGACCAACCACTGAACACCCCTATGATTGTTGGTCTATTATTGGCCTGATTGTCTCTACATCTCTGTTTACTAATTATGTTATTTTTATTGGAACCTGGTTCCTTAAATCAAAGTACTTCTTGATGAACACTAAGCCTAAATGCACAAAAGAGGATAACAAATATTTTGGTCTTACATTACTGCATATTCTTAATTCAGATGCCAATCAGGAATTAGGTTGTGAGTTGACGGGGGAAGTCAAGTGTAGATAGATTGGCCAGTTAGGATTGTGTATATATAATTACTTTACTGTAGTTACTTACTTACCATAATCTTTGTCATGTTACACTGAAACTGCTACTAGTTTTTGCATCCACATCATCTTGCTTAAATTGTTTTGGCTTTCCACATTCGATTTGTAAAAGAGAACTTTCAACAATGTTACAGCATCTTTGTTTTTTAAGCTTGAGTCTACGACCTCTTGTTCAAACATTGCAGATTTTAAAAATTCCTCCTTGTCAACTTTGTAGATTTCTATCGCAAATGATTACATCACCTTGTTTCCTTCTATCTACAAGCTTTGGCATGTTTAATGCCTCAAGTATTTCCTTATAGCTCTTGTTTTTTAGGTCTAGAAGCCATTTGGTAGTACATGTATGGCTTTGCAACGTTCTATTTTGTTGTGATGTATTTTAGGTATAGAAAATCATACAAGCACTGCATACTCTATTCCGTTCACTTGGACTGTATGGGTCTTGAACTGCGGAACCCACACGCGTGAGGCCGTAGCACTTATCAACTAGGCTATGAGCAGTCTTAAAATACTCCAATTTTGTTCTCATGAATGTTGTGAATAATTTCTTTAGTAATTACTAATTTATACATTTAAAAGCTTTTGAAATTTGCAAATGTAACAGGTTCCTCTTGCAATGCCTTTGATGTGGTTCTCTGGTAACAGTTTACTATCCAGAACCACCCCTAGATATCTTTCTTTGTTAAGGTTCTTTAATATATTTTATTTGGTATATTAATATATTTAAAACAGGCCACAGGCAGTTTGTAGGTTGCCTGCAACTTTTTTTCATTCTATTCCACATTTCATTGCACAGCATTTGCCCATACAGTATTTGCCTTTCCTTCGAGAGGCATTTGCGGACATTTTTTGACTCGGTTAATGTGCCGACGAGCTGTGTTATCCTGTGCATTAGTTGGCTTGGTCTCTTTCCATTTTATCCATCACCCCATTTTCTCCTCTTCTGTTTCCTGAGGTGGCTGTTTCCTCTGTTATGTTGGCTGCAGCTGTTGCTCTTTAGCCTCTCAGTGGTCTACATTTGCAGCAAGGTTCTGTCCCTGCTGATTTGGGGTAGCTTTCTAGGGTTTGGGCTTTGCCTGTTGTTGGCTTCCTGAGGTTTCAAATTCTCAGGCTGTAGCACTTTCTTTTGCATTTGCTCATTCTGTTCGGCACCGTTTTCATGTATCATGGAAGAGGGTCTTCTGCTTGTGGGTTCACATGCCTGACTTCTTGTGGTTCACCCCTTTGGTGTTACTGGGGGATGTCAGGCCTGTTTTACCAGCTCATGTACCTACAATGCATGAACCTTGAGGTTGATGTCTTGGGGCTTGCAATGGAGGGAAAGGAAAGGCCAAGAGGGTCAGCAGTGCACCCCACAACTACTGTCAGTCATTGCAGAATGGTTGGGCTCTTGGGTGGTCAAAGTAATTCCCGCTGTGGGTGTTCCATCTATTTCAGGTCCCCATATGGGACGCAATGAATCTGTAGTACATTCTTGACCTCTAGGGTTTGAATCACTTCGTTCCTTGCCCAGCCTACTTCGTTCCTCGCCTAGCCTACTTTGTTCCTTGCCTAGCCTACTTCGTTCCTTGTCCAGCCTTTCACATGACCACCTTTAGACAAGTTTGCCAAACCCTACATATGAATGTGTGGATGGCACATTCACCTGTAGGTATGCTTCAGGTGAATGTGCTTATTGGCATGCTTCTCTTTCCTCAGATTCAGGAACTGGTTAGGGCTCATGGTGGGCCATCACAGTTACCAATTTTGGGTCACAAGTTTGGCTTGAATCTGGTTCCTGCCACCAAGGACCCACCAGAATGAGGCATTTCATTACATTCAATGTTAGTTTCTGGGAGGAAGCCCTGTCGACTTCCCAGAGCTATCCAGGCTGATGTGTAACTATTAGCTTTCTGGCATCAGTCAAAGTGCATGGAGTTCTTGCCTACCGGGGACCACGAGTCAGAGCCTGGTCTGGGTTCGAGGCAGAGAGAGGCACGAGGAGCAATGACCTATAGGAACCCCCGTGTGGTTGGGAGCATTCTGTGTTTGCCATTGACTGGGTCTGGCACCCAGAAAGATAGGTGCCCCAAAACAAGCACCTATTCTGGTGAAAATATTGCTAACGAAAGCCGACCAAGTGGACAAAACTCTCCAATGAAAATTAGGAAACGACCATGAAGTCATTACGTTGCGCGCCACTGTCTGCACACCCCACCCCTTCCCGGGAGGGGGAACGGGGAGCCCCAGACCCTCGGGCCGGCGATCCAACGGACAGTTCATAGCTGATGTGATACTGGGTGGTCGGGTGCCTCTGGCTCCAGTTTGTGTTTTCAGTTCCTGTGCCTTGTGATATGGTCTGACTCTACAGGTGGTGTGTGAGCCAGGAGTAATATTCTATGGTACTCAGGCTGCATGCGCCTAGGGTTTCCTTCCCCAGGTGCCCTGTAAGGCCCTTGAGGCATGGGGCCGCCTTCCACAAATCACCTTGGGATCTGCCTTCGCTGTGTCTTTTACTGATCGGTACTTGGCCGCCCTTGGAGTCTGCTGGGATCTTGTTGCCCTTGTTTGCCTCTGAGTAGGAGGTAGTTTTTGTCACTGGTGGGGGCGCAGGGTACTGCACAGCTAGTTTTCACCTATTATAGCGGCTGGCTCTGTTCTGTCTGAGTAAGGTGTGCTCTTGTGAGGTTTTTCTTTTGGTTTTGTTTCCCTACCTGGTTGGGGGGTCTGCCTTTGGTTGGTTGCCCTTGTTTATACTTGGGGGGGGGGGGATTTAGATCTGTGTGTTCTTGGTGGTACCCCCTGCTTGGCCCCCGTGAGTGGACACATTCCGGGAGTTCTGCTTTAGAAGTTTGCTCGGTAGTTTTGGGTGCCTGTCAGCAGTACCCTGTTTCGGCTTCCCTTAGTGTGATACCAAAGCTAAGCACCCTGTGAAACCCCACGGGGGGCTCTATGGTCTGATGGATGCGACCCTCGAGTCCCCCTCTTGCTTCGTGCGCGGTCGATAGTTGTTCTGTCCCCCTTGTCTCAGGGTGACAATGTCTGGTTGTGCCTCCTCCATGCTGCCTGTCGGATCCATGCTTCTTTTGACCCAGAGTCGTGCAACGTTTGTTCCTTGTACGTCCTTCAGTTCACCCAAGCTACTGAACATGATATGAGGGTGCAGGCAGCAGAGGCGTTGCATGCGCGGTTTAGGTTACTGCAATACGATAAGTTTGTTGCTTTCCCCGGATGCCCTGAGACTGCCCAGTTTAGGTTATAGGGACCCGGACTTGGGGGTGGGAGTCGCTATGACTTTGGTTCCATCCGCCCCTCCTTGTCCTTTCCCTTCGGTGGTTCACTTGGTCGTCCCCTCCCCCTTGCTGCCAGGTCAGGTCAGGCAGGGTCTGGTTGGTGTTGACAATTGGCCGGTCTCGGGGGAGTCCCCTTCTGGGGTGGCAGTGGAGGCATTTGAACCTAGTCCTCCAGCCGGAGTTTCTGGGTCTGACCAGTGGGCCCCTTTCGTTCCTGCTTTTTTGACTGCTCTTGCCTTTTCTTTAGAGGCAGGAGGTTTGGAGAATGGCTTGGCCCCAGGTCCTCAGGGTGAGGGTTCCCAGAGCAGGGGAGGGGTTGACTTGGGGGTCTTGGCCCCTGTTGGACCCCGCCTGGGTTTTTGTACCCCTTGGAGGGGGCTTGGTGTTATGATGAGGGGTTCTCTTTCGCTCGCTCCTCGTATGAATTGGATTTGGCGTCTACCCCTCCCCGGGTTCGGTTCCGTGAATCCGTGGGTTCTTCGGTCCCATCCTTCCGGAGGTTTTCGGCTTCCCGCGTCCTGTACATGTGATGTAGGAAGTTCTTGCGGCTTATCTCCTGCACAACCTAGATTATGTTTTTGTGATGTATCCACGTTCCTTCGTGTATGGCTCTTCGTGTCCGTACTGGGTTTGTTATACAGTCAAGAGTCGTCATGGTTAGCAGACTGCCCGCTCTTCTTGGAGGCTTGGCACACGTTTTGTTGGTCCCGTGCGCTTGAGTGGAGGGAGGCTCAGACGGCATTGCAGGTTTTCCTTGGAGGCAAATTTGAGCATCTCAATGCATGTTTGTTCGCCTGCACACTTCCGCTGGATGCTGATGTGATGCAGCTTCATGTGCAGGTTTCTTTCCTTTGGGCTGCCTTGGTCGCGGAGGATTTATGTACACGTGGCCTGCTGGCTTTGGCACTGCGTTTCTTCTCCCTCCTCGAGCTGTCTTTGGATTGGCTTGAATTGGATGTGGAGGAGCTTGGGGCCACCTCTGGGTCTAGTTGTCTTGGCTCTTAGGTTGTCTTCGCCTTTTTGTCCGCTGCTGTTTGCAGAGTCTGTGATTGTGTGGTATCTGCAGGTGGCTTCGGCTAGTTGCTGACCTATGTCCGACTTCTTAGTTCTTTGGGGGGGCTCGTGGGGGGCCTTTCCGGAAGGGAAAGGGCT